TTTTGAAGCCTCCGAAAGCCGGAAAAAACCCTTTCCGACACAATCTTTCCTGGCTTTTGGTCATGTTTCGGCAATTTTTCAAACCGAGACACGTCAAAAACCGTCAGTTTTTACGAGGTTTTTTGCCGAACACCCACATAAAACCCTGTAAATTGCATGGTTTGAGGCCATGCTTGAAGACAGGAGGAGCTGAAAACACTGGTATTTACGGTGTTTTGTAGCCGTCGATCCAGAGGCGCACCACGGTTGTGTGCTGGGAAAGCGCAGAAAACCATGTAAATACCGTCGTTTTCTGCCGGGAAGGTGCACAAAACCGTGTAAATACCATAGTTTTGTGCAATTTTGAAGCCTCCAAAAGCCTCAAAAACCCTTTCCGACAAAATCTTTCCTGGTTTTTGGTCATTTTTCGGTCATTTTTCAAGCCGATACGCATCAAAAACCATCGGTTTTTACGGTGTTTTTTGCCGGCCACAAAAAACGCTGTAAATTGCATGGTTTTCGGCCACTGTTGAGGACTGGAAGAGCTGAAAACAGTTATGTTTACGGTGTTTTCGAGCCGTTGACCCCGAGGCGCGCCAACCTTTCGTGAAAAGAGTCACTTTCACAGTTCACTGACAGGATCATGATTGAAGATATGCATTCTCTGGCCTCCCACAAAACACCAAAGGATCACAGCTACTCATCCAGTTGCTCCCGGATTGCCCCGCTTGGCCCACACACACAAGGTCCACCACCCGTCGGAGTCACCCTGAGGTGAAGACTTGGACTTCAGCTCGGCATTGGTCTTCTCCAACTCCAAGACCAGCTGCTCCCTGGCCGAGTGCTCACAGCTCGACGTGGGTGCTGGAAGCTCCGGAACATCCGAAGTAGAGCTGAAGACTAGGTGACGAGATGATGATAGTCCATCAAGAAATCCGTTCCTACCACCGGCGATACATACTTTCCTAATTTCACATGCAGGTGCCTCCAACCAGCGCAAGAAGACATCAAACATGGCTGGGAGTGCAAACATTCTTTCTCAGAGGCCAACTTCCTTGGAAGTTAAACGCGTCAAACAGCTCTGAAACCTTGCGTCTTGTCAATCCTTCAGTTGCTGTAATTTCTTCGAAATGCCCAGCTTGTTGAGCAACTTCACAGAGCCGATATTCAGATCCGAGCTTATTCTGGTCGGCCATGAGCTTCAGCCTGCAGAATGACAAGCGAGTCCCCAATGAAGTTCAGTGCTGATTATGAATCTGATTGGGTTCAACGGTTCACATCATAAAGTCATTCGAAGTTCAACATCCACCTATCAAGGGAACAGAGTGCAAAAGTTAACTTCTCAGTGACTCAGTACGGTGCTCGGCTTTGGTATCCAGCAACATCTCCTGCATCTCCTTCAGTTCTGGAACAGTGTTGGACCTGCAGGAAGATCGCTGGCGCCCCGCGACCCGCGGAACTCCCGACGCAGGTCTGACCAAATTGCAGGTCTGTCGCCCTCATAGGTCTGTTGTGATTCCTCTATAATCAAAAAGCTTAACAACAAGGAAACAAAAAAGATAGCATATAATTGTCTAGTAGCGATGGCCTCCAACCATAGCAATGGCCTCCAGCCTAATAGCGATGGCCTCCTAGCGATGGGCTCCAACCGACTAGCGATGGCCTCCAACCTGAGAGCGATGGCCTCCAACCTACTAGCGATGGCCTCCAACCTACTTAAGTACAAGACTTCTCCTCTCTGCTCAGACGAAAGCCACTTAGAATGTCATGAAACGCACTGAAACACTGAAACGCACTCAAGCGCAAGATACCCGCCTCTCCTCACCCTGGCCCTGACCAGACAGAGGGTGGATGTCGCCGGGCAGTTGAGTTCTTGCGTTAATATAGACTTTGGGGCATCCCCAATGAATGTGGTTGACAAGTAAAGAAAAGCTTCTCATTTCAGCATGCTTGGAGCAAAGGCATTCCTCCCTCCAGTTTTTGGTAGCAGAACACCAACGATGAATTTCATTCAATTCAGCGTGCTTGTTTCATTGCTTGGGACTAACTTGATTGTACCTCTCAGAATGTGTCTTCTTCTCCTCATTGTGAATCGATACACAACACTGTCACAACACTAGCAAAGCCACAAGAGGTGCTTGTTTGCTTCACAAGGAAAACCGAGATCAATCAGACCATCCTGCAAAAGGCTCCATCCAACCTTCCCAAAAACGGTCCAAGCTTCGCTACGAAACGCCTTCAAATCCTCGGGCTTCACCGTCACCTCATTGGACCTGGTTTCCGTGACCCCCATGGGCCCAGGTGCCAGGCGTCTTTGTCCACAAAGCTTCATCAAAGGTCGTGTTCACTCGCTTCGTGGGCCGTTCCAAGCCAATTTTTGACAAATCGAACATCGGTGAGGGGCCAAGAAAATCAAGGACATGTGTGGATGCCGACACGGTGCCTCTGGCTGGCCGTTTAGAGGGGTCACTTCGCCCACACGTCCAACACACCGCGGAGCCGCGAGACGAGCAGCGAGGGCCCATTCAACGAGGCGAGCAGCGTCCCGGACTGAGCACCTGCGCGCGTTCGGGCCCCGCGTGTGCGCATCACTCAATCGATCAGAAGCGGTGCTCCGTTTCATTTGTGCAAAAAAATGAAACAAAGACCTTCTTCACATGCTTCGAACACAGGGTTGCATTCCTTCGATGTGATGATTCGACACCAAGAAACGAGCCAGGGCCACATGGCATTCAGGCATGAAAGCAACTGGAAGTGCTCACTTCAGATTCAAACAAAAGGTATAGAAATCTAAATGAAAAGGATGCTCGTGATACCAGAAGATCCTGGAAACGAGGGAGAGGCCATCACTTGCACCTTTCAATTCCACTTCCTTTCTCTCAAAACAGCAACTCACCGCTACTTTGTAGCTTGTTGGACTCCCGCCTGCAAGCAACGCCTCGCGAGCTTTCAACCTCAACTCCTCCACCCTTGCGGCGTCCTCCGCAGGTGCCTCTATCCACTTCGCCAAGGCGCTCATGTTCAGAACCCGATCCACGAGGGTCAGTGTGGTAAGGCTGGACCGGGTCTTACATGGAGAAGGAAGGGAAATCAATGGCTCTCAACACAATCTACATCTGGCGTGCCGTTGCTGGAGAACACTGTCGTCCCGTTGGAGAACAATGATTGTCAAGACTCTCCGAGATCGGAGAGGATTGGCGTGCTGCTACACCCTCCAGCCAATACACACAGACTGGAAAACTGACTTGCTTGGCACAAAGCAGTGTCTAGTGAGACATCATGTTGAATCTAGTGAATCTCAGAAGTTCTCCCAAAACTTTCCAACAACTCCTCTTCGGACTCTTCTAATTCTACTCAAACGGTCTCCAAAAGCCCCTGCCAACCCTGCGCCTCTCCGCTCAGCGCTGCCAGCAGCTTCCCAGACTGGGCGCCGGACCTCGGTGTTTCCGGTGTCTACTGACTGGTGCGACGAAAGTAGGGAATGAGAGAAGGTGAGAGCAGCCAACCGCATTCCCTGGCTTGGTAAGGAATGAAGGAATGGATTCTAAGGTATCTATGATGAGGGGTCATTCCCTTATTCTCTACGAGTCGCACCAGTGAGTCTAATTCACCTGGACCCCACCTGGTGAGTAGTAGTCTACGCGTTCGGTTTCCCAGTTTTGACCTACAGCCAGGGTGACAATGCGGGCCTTACGATCGTACTTAAGACTAACTGCCTTTCGAAAGCGCACCGACAAATTCAGCTACGCCGTGAAAGCACTTTGACACTAAGTGGACGGACCAAACCAGCAATATCTCCAGCGAACGGTTATGGGGCTAGGAACAAGGGCACAAGGGTGCTTCTTACCAAACAAGGGCTGTGAGGCTGTGAGGTAGTTCCTTCAAAACTGGAAGTTTGTACATGGAACATTTCATTGGCCAGCACCACGCAAAGAACCCCGCAACAGTCTGTTGAGTGAGGCTAAAAGCTTGCTGGACAGGGCAAGTGACAGCAAGGCTTCCAATGCCTGCTGGCGCAAACCTTCGATCTCCTCCTCCTCCTTTTTCTGGCCAAGAAGTTCTTGGAGTTTTCCACTTTCCATCCCCTGCATCAGTGCGTCTAGAGCTTGTGCCCGCAAACCATCGTCATCTGCCTGTGTTGCCTTCGCCTGCAATAGCTCTTGCAACTTTCCGGATTCGGCACCTTGCAACAGTGCTTCCCGCGCTTGTTGCCGTAAGGCATCTGCCTCATCTCCCTCTTTCCTCACTTTGTGGCCTGCCAGAGCCTCTTGCAATTTGCCGGATTGTGCTCCTTCCAACAATATCATTCTGGCTTGCTGTCGCAGTGCCTCTGCGTCTGTACTAGCATCTTTTTGGAATTCTCCAGGCTTGCGGCTGGCTAGAACTTCTTGCAGCTTTCCTGAT